GATACAAGCACCACTGAAAAAGTGTCATGTGCTTTGTTCTCAAACACATTGCAAACCTCCGTCGCTGATTAGCACTGATGGAGCATAAATAGAGTGACGTTACATAAAAAAAATTATCTCATAAGAGAATTGTGATTACCTAAAGATGGAGCTTAGTATCTAGCCGTAGTATTGAAAAAATAAAGTATAATGTTATGTAATGAAGTTAATGAAGTAAAAATCTACATTTTTATTTAAAATAAAACTTTACTAGAATTATTTACCATGTTGTTTTGAGAAAACTAATAGTTGTACTTTCATGTATTATAATCGTTTTTATAATGAATAGATCCTGAATGAAGGAGGCCACAGACATTAGTGTCAAAAGGTTATATTCAATCGATCAAGGTATTATACGTATTGGTAAATTATTTACCAATGACTGACACTTTTCAAAAATCGATTTTATTATTGCGAATGTGGAAATAGAATGTGGAATAGATTTTATAATTGCTATAAACTTATTGATATTGTTCTTTTTTGAATTTAATTGAATGGAATAAAATAATGAACTAAATTAACGAAAGCTGATCAGAAGTTATTTTGAAAATTGCTTTTAAATGTAATGATGTAAAATTGTGTAATATCAACAAGGAATGAAAAAAAAACTAGGATATAGCATTGATATGGATGATTTATTTTTATTTATAAAATCTGAGATCACGAACCCAGAAAAAACAAACTTTGCATTTTTTATATTATTTTCTTTAAATATCTCTTAAAAAAATTAAATTCGTATACTATACTACTGGAAAAAGTTAAGGGAACAGCAAAAATTTTTCGGCGATTTATGAAGGGCTCTATTTTCGTGAAAAATGATCGTATTAAGATGAAAAAAGAAGTATTTTAAAGCTTGAAATATTTAGTTTCAGAATTTTATAGTCAAGATTATTTATATGCTATAGTTACTACATAATCATAAGGAAAAGATCGAGACAAAAAATTTTCCATTTTGTTTTGAGTCTATGAGCTTCGAAAAATTTGCTTCGTTCAAATGAACTTTAATTTCAGTTAGCTTATTTATTACCTTCAATTTAGATTTTCTTTTATTTCTCTATGTCTATTTTTCCCTGAAACTTTGAACTTTGAATGGAAAATGGTCCCTTTTTCATTCAGTCGCCAATATCCCAGCAACCAATAACCGTACAGCAAATAAAGAGGGAGTTCTGAAAAGTAAAATCAATTTCCTACAAAATTTATTCATTGGTTATTGAAAAAAAAAATTTTGATATTCATTCATGAAAAAAGTACAAAAAATGACTTTTTGCGTTATTTTATAAAACCTTCCTCAACCTGGCAACCGTTGCGAAAAGTACCAATGTAAGTTTGTAGGCTTTTCTCAGCTCAATAGATATACAGAAACTCTGTTAATTTTCAAAGCGACAGATCAAGTTTTTTCTCAATTTGACATTGAATAGTCAATTTTTTAAAAAGAACTCTTTTCGAAAAACAAACATTTTTTTTGAAATAACAATAAATTCTTTTTGCATCATTAACTGCTAGCACTTGCGTCACCCAAAGTATACCACGTAGTGGTTGCTCGGTCAAGTTTATGCTTCTTGTGCATACACGTGTCTGTCTGTCCATACGTATATCTATTTGTATGCCTTTATGTCTAATTCATTCAGTAAAACGAGACCTTGCGGTTCGTGATTTCTGAAGAATTTAAAGACTTCAAATTCATTTACTAAATAGCATATATCTATCTTCGATTTCCTAGTGGAATAAGATCCCGTAGCTTGTCATTTTCGCAGTACTTGACAACTCCAAACTCATTCCTTAAGTTACGTACGTCTATGTCTGCCTAGTACCTTGTGTATTGCCACCTCTACTTTGAATCACTCCATTCAGTCGGTTCGACATATTAATGCACCATCAGATCACCGACTGAGGAATGGTCATCTAAATTCGTATAAACGCATCATCTGATACTGCTAAATTTAACATATTCGGGTATTGCTGGCGTAGTCGATGACCCATAATATTCTATGTGCTCAACGGGATGAACATTGGAACTCATCACAGAATGTCTTAGTAAGGTGTTCTTTTCAAAAAATCGTGTAGTCATGATTGCATTGTGATGGCGCGTAATATATTGCACAAATATGAAACCTCGATCATTTACATGTCAAGATAACAGGATTAGTAATGTTATTCTACTGCCTCATATTCAATGAATGTATCAGTGGGCATAAGCCAGATGTCTTACTGTTAGCATTGATACATAAATCTGATGCCTGGCTCGTAATTCAGATTATCAAAGACAGTTAGTAACTGTTCAGTAAGAAATAGTTCTTTATTCTTGTCGTTGTCGTTGGTGTCGTCGTCGTCATCATTTACACTGCTGTTGTTGTTGTTGTTGTTGTATTGATTGTCGACGGTTTAGAAAATTTAGCTGACGACATTCGCATGAACGAACGATTCTCGACGAGCACGACAAATAATTGCTCGATCATCTCGAGAAGCTGTTACTCGTTATAAACATTACCCCAGTCGATATCCAATTTATTACCAACGCCGCCCTTTTCGATAAGAGTTACAAGTCGAGCGAGACATGATACTAAAATTTAAAAAAAAGTTATAATTTGCAAAAAAAATAGTTTAAAAAACTGTTTATTTGAAGTCAAATTACTTCCCAGAATGAAACAAAATTGTTCGCATAAATATCGTAGGTTAAATAATTGGTATAACTCGGGGATATCAATTTTTTTAATTATTGAAATTTTTTTCAGATAATAAAGTTTAGGCATGCTGAGGCCGACAAAAAACAAAAATAACATCATTTTTTTTTCAAATTTTGTAAACAATTTTTGAAAAAGAAAAAAATTTTTTTTTAGTCATTATCATTATTTATTAACATTTAAGGAACAAAAACTTGTTCCTTTAATTCTTTTCAAAAATTTGATAATTCGGTCTAGAAAAAAGGCTTGATCAATCGCTTTGAAAATTAACCGAATTTTCGGCTTGTATTAAGCTATAAAAATATTGGTACTTTGCGCAACTGTTGCCAGATTGAGGCAGATTTTCTAAATAACCTGAAAACCCAAAATATCATTTTTTTTCGTACTTTTTTCAAATTGATCTCGAAGATTGAAAATAATTTTTTGTAGGGAATTTATTCTAGTTTTTAGAATTGTACCATTTTTTACTGAATGATTATTGGTTAGTGAGATATTAACATTTGAAGGAAAAAAACGATTTTTCATTCAAAGTTCAATATCTCCGTGATAAATGGACAAAAAAAGATAAGGAAAAAATAAAATTTAAGCTAAATATATAAGCTAATTGAAATTTAAGTTTGATTGAACGAAATCAATTTTCCGTAGTCCGTGGACTCAAAAAAATACAAAAAAATTACAAAAATTTTTTCTAGTTCTTTTCCTTAGAATTATGCAGTAACCATTATAGATGAAAAAATGTAACTCAAAAATTCTATAACTAGAAATTTTAAGCTTTAATATGCTTTTTTTCATCTCAATTTTCACGAAAATAAAGCCCTTTACAAATTGCCGAAAAATTATGATTGTTTTTTAATCCCTTAATTTTTTCCAGTAGTGCATACAATTGCAATTTTAAGTACAAGAATTGAAAGAAAACATCATATTTATTACGATTAAAAAACTGCGTAACTGAATTACATCGCTAAAAGATACGGGATACCCCTATTAATATCAATAGATTAATAACAATAAACTAAAGGTTGTGACTATCGACGGTCATATCTAAGTTCATGGAATATTTGATGCATAGAATGTTGTTGGTACATATAATTTATTTTGAAATGTAAAGATTAATTAAACTAGATTTATTTCAACGCCGTTAAAGTAAGTTCATCCGTAGATTCGTGGCTAATCGACGCCTCAATCCGCTCCACATCTCTCAGTGGTACTAAGCACACAACATGCGCCGCCGAAAACGAACACAAAAGCACGATGCAAAACGATACATGAATTAAATCGATTTAAGTTCCTGGCTACGAGCATAAATATGTTAACACCGGCAAAAACAAAGCCAAACATGAATTAATATAAAAAGATGAAAACTGTCGTGACACTTAACGACAATATTAAAAGGAAATATTTAAGCCGAGAGTTATGGACGCACGCAATTTCACAAAAAACAAGCGATTAATTTCAACGGTGAGTGACACTGAAACAAAAAAAGATTAATTTCGAGCTACTAATATATCGCGATACACGCAAAAAGAAATAAAGCGTTCGTAAAGCAAACAATTATTACTCAGTTGATTACAGGCATTGCTGCTGCAGAAAACAATCTCTTCGTAAGCTAGCAGGTGAGTGAAAGTAGAAAGTAATGGCCAGTGATTTACTGAGCTTAATTCTTCTCTCCAGGAATTCGGAGAGCAATGGCCCTGATGTTAAGTTTCTCGCTGTTCACGACATCGAATGTTAAGCTTTCAAAGGACGCGCACCAAATCGGCTTGTCACCGCACTCTTTTCCGAATCACAACTGCGCTCGTCATTCGAGATGCACTCAAAATACTAGGCATTTTTTCAGAGAAAATACAGAAATGGCAAAATCGAGAAAAATAATAGCGTATTCTCTTTCTTTCTGGTCGTAGTCATACTGTTTCCTCTAGTCGCGTGTCGCTCTGCCCCTAACACCGTGCGCAAACATGTTTTCTGTACGTACGCTCCCAAATTTTCCGATCGGTCTCTATTTCTCATCCACGCTCGCTATTTTTTGTGGCAGTCTTTCCTCAATATACACATGCATTATAGTAAATATCTATTCATTACAGAAATTTATAGTATTTACGATGAACAATGAATAATATTAAATAAAATTCATATAAAGTAAACAATATGAGAATGTTTTCTGTTATAAATATAGCTTAGAAATCTAATAATTAAATTATCGATTAAGAAATATTTGAGATTATTAAAAAATATAGACTTAAATACATAAACATTACAAAATTTGTAATGATATCCTATTACCTTAACAAGATTTTCCACAGCTTTAGTGACTTCTCGAACTGCATTCATTAATTGCGTTTGACATGCTGGTGAATTCAATGTCGGAGCTACTACTTTAGCACAAGCTACTAACTGAGATGTAGCAAGTGCACAATTAGTAGCAGCTGATATTACTTGATTCTGAATGGTTGATTCTTCGTAAGTAGCTGCAATATTTTTTGCTTTTAATACCAAAGCAGCGGTTGTATTAGCGACATTCTTAGCTAACGACAGTAAAATATCTTGTATTTCACAATTCGTATCATCTTCTTCACCAATAGTCAAAAGAACTTGATGTGACGCTTCACCAATACGAGATGCTGCACTTAACAAAATCTGTCTTGACTGTAAATATTTTAATAATTGTTGATTAATTTTATCAAAAAAGATTTCTATTAGACATCTTGAAATTTTTATCAATCGTTAAGGAGTAACACTATTTTATAGTCTTAAAAAAAGGCACAATTTTGATCATTTTTTTAAATAAGATAGACAAAGGAATCGGATTTCTGTTTTCACAGATTGATAAAACACAGATTGAATTATTATTGGATTTTCAAAACAAAATAGCTACCCACTATGGAAATATTCAAACGGTCATGTACGAAATCCAAAATTCCGCGATCTAATAAAGCTAGAAAAATTCTGAAAAAGCCATTTTTAATTTTGAAGAGAGTAGAATAAGGAAAAAATAGTCTGATTCCTTAAAAAGTTAGTTTTGACCTTTAAATCAGAGATCAAAGCTCTGACTTTCTGGAAATTTATCTGGTAATTTTAACAGTTTTATGCAATGATTTTTGAAAAGTAATTATATAGGATTGTAGCTATTAATAAAAGGATCAAAAATAATGATTTCAAATTTTTTTTTATTCAGCGCCAATGAAATAAAAATGGTCAAAACAGCGATTATTCTATTGGGCATTAAATTTATTTTTTATAGAGTTGGGTTCCCATGTAGATGTGCAAGCTCATGCGTAATATCCCATAATTAGGTAGCGTAAGATCTACGGTGATTTCAAGGTTACTCGAAATGCAAAGTACATGTGAAAATTATGATTATCAACATTTAAGAACATTTCAATTGAGAGTTTTAATTTAGTTTTATTTTTACACGATCAAAATTTAATTCTTAAGGTTATTAGTACTATATTACATATTGTGACGGTAAACGTCTTATTAGCGCTATCGCCTAAACCAAGCGGCTGCCTGCGAGGGCAGCACCTACTGGTTGGGGAAAACGGAATAAGGGAACTCGGTACGAGACGGGACGGAACGCGCGCGAATATAAATGAACCAGTCGAGAGTAATCTAAGCAACTAGCCGCAGGAGTAACCAAAAGTTTTCCAAAAAGTTCCCGAGTGCTGGAGTGAACTAACTGGACAAGAGGGATATCCACGAAAGCCGTGTTTTTGTCGCGCCTTTACGAGTGTGTGCGAAGGTGAGTGGGAGTGCTGCGCTTCGCCATCGAGGGCGAAACCGCGAGCGATCTGCTTCCGACAAGGGACCGCTAACGAACCTTTCCCTCTCTTGCTAATTATTCGACCATTAATAAGGTAAGCTGGCCAGCTTAATATCACGACTTTTTGTATGACTGCGCGAAGCGAATTATTAATCCCTCGTACTCCATGAAAATCGGTAGCGCGCATGTATTAACGCTGTGAACAAAGAGCGGCGGCCGTTCCGGCATTGCATGTTATTGACGCGCGCGCACATCGTAAACATAAACACGCGGGCCAAATATATTGTAGAGGATAGACAAATAAACTAACTAAAAATGCGATTCAAATCATATCACTGTTGTTATTTCTAACCAGTAGCTAGTTGGTTGATTGACTCCCGTCCCCTCCTGCTCTCCGACTATTGAATTTGAACATCTCGATATCACCGCGCGCACCTCGACACGCCTGCGCGCCGAACGAATAATCGGATTGAAACGGAGCAATCACCCCGTTATATGGCGCCCAACGTAAAAGAACCTACAGGGTTTATGATTGTTTAAAACACCGATTCTAAACATTGACCTGGCGATCAGTCAACCAGCGACTCAAGTGGCGATCAAAGTGTTGCTGTGCACACTTTGAGTAAAAGCCACACAGTAAACATCGCCTCTCTATAAGATAGCTTGCGAAGGCCCGCCGCGACGATAATTTGTAAACAGTCGTTGTAAGCGCGTGTGAGTGCAACCGAACGACTCTCAGCGAGTCAGAGCGTAAACACCAATAGGTTTTGAAAGTTGACGCAGATCAACAATATTGTACCCGTTGCCCCGGGGAAAACTAACACCGGCGACATTCAAAAGAAACTCAAATCAATAGTTTTCATTGGTAACGTGTTGTCTTAACGTAAATGTATTTTTCGAATATTGCTAACTGCAGTTCCCACACAGCATGCAATATTTCAGTGAAAAATTCCATAAAATATTTCAAAGAAACCTTATGAAAATATTGCAGGAAGCTTTCAGAAAGTTATTAGAAATAATTCAGTGAAATATTTCGACAAATATTCCAGAAACCTTGCAGAAACCTTTCACGGAAATGTTATTTGTTACGTTTCGAAATATCTCGGTGAAACCTAGCAGGAAACTTGCAGAAACATTGCAGGAAATATTTCAGGAAAAATTTCAAGGAAGCTTCAGGGGATATTTCAGAAACCTTGCAGGAACCTTTCACTGAAATATTATTTGCTACGATTCGAAACCTTTTGGTGAAACCTTGCAGGAAACTTGCAGGAACATTGCAAGAAATATTTCAGGAAAGATTTTAAGGAAGTTTCAGGGAATATTTCGAAAACCTTGCAGAAACATTGCAAGAAATGTTTCAGGAAAGATTTCAAGGAAGTTTCGGGGAATATTTCTGAAACCTTGCAGAAACCTTTCACTGAAATATTATTTGTTAAGTTTCGAAGAATCTCGGTGAAACTTTGCAAGAAACTTGCAGAAACATTGCAAGAAATATTTCAGGAAAGATTTCAACGAAGTTGCTGGGAATATTTCAAAAAACTTGTGGAAACATTGCAAGAAATATTTTGAGGAAAGATTTCAAGGAAGTTTCAGGGAATATTTCGAAAACCTTGCAGAAACATTGCAAGAAATGTTTCAGGAAAGATTTCAAGGAAGTTTCGGGGAATAGTTCTGATACCTTGCAGAAACCTTTCACTGAAATGTTATTTGTTAAGTTTCGAAGAATCTCGGTGAAACTTTGCAAGAAACTTGCAGAAACATTGCAAGAAATATTTCAGGAAAGATTTCAACGAAGTTGCTGGGAATATTTCAAAAACTTGCGGAAACATTGCAAGAAATATTTTGAGGAAAGATAGAGGGAAGTTGCTGGAAATATTTGTAGAATTATTGCAAAAATATTTCGGTAATATTGGCTCAAATACTTCCTGGAAATGTTTCTGAAATCGTTCCAAAAATTTTGACATTTTATTTCGCAATATATTCACGATTCATGTCTGGAAATATATTTCTGGAATATTCCCACACAGCATGCAATATTTCAGTGAAAAATTCCATGAAATATTTCAAAGAAACCTTATGAAAATATTGCAGGAAGCTTTCAGAAAGTTATTTGAAATATTTCAGTGAAATATTTCGACAAATATTCCAGAAATCTTGCAGAAACCTTTCACGGAAATGTTATTTGTTAAGTTTCGAAGAATCTCGGTAAAACTTTGCAAGAAACTGCAGAAACATTTCAAGAAATATTTCAGGAAAGATTTCAACGAAGTTGCTGGGAATATTTCAAAAACTTGCGGAAACATTGCAAGAAATATTTTGAGGAAAGATAGAGGGAAGTTGCTGGAAATATTTGTAGAATTATTGCAAAAATATTTCGGTAATATTGGCTCAAATACTTCCTGGAAATGTTTCTGAAATCGTTCCAAAAATTTTGACATTTTATTTCGCAATATATTCACGATTCATGTCTGGAAATATATTTCTGGAATATTCCCACACAGCATGCAATATTTCAGTGAAAAATTCCATGAAATATTTCAAAGAAACCTTATGAAAATATTGCAGGAAGCTTTCAGAAAGTTATTTGAAATATTTCAGTGAAATATTTCGACAAATATACCAGAAATCTTGCAGAAACCTTTCACGGAAATGTTATTTGTTAAGTTTCGAAGAATCTCGGTGAAACTTTGCAGGAAACTTGCAGGAACATTGCAAGAAATATTTCAGGAAAGATTTCAAGGAAGTTTCGGGGAATATTTCTGAAACCTTGCAGAAACCTTTCACTGAAATGTTATTTGTTAAGTTTCGAAGAATCTCGGTGAAACTTTGCAAGAAACTTGCAGAAACATTGCAAGAAATATTTCAGGAAAGATTTCAACGAAGTTGCTGGGAATATTTCAAAAAACTTGCGGAAACATTGCAAGAAATATTTTGAGGAAAGATTTCAAGGAAGTTTCAAGGAATATTTCGAAAACCTTGCAGAAACATTGCAAGAAATGTTTCAGGAAAGATTTCAAGGAAGTTTCGGGGAATATTTCTGAAACCTTACAGAAACCTTTCACTGAAATGTTATTTGTTAAGTTTCGAAGAATCTCGGTAAAACTTTGCAAGAAACTGCAGAAACATTTCAAGAAATATTTCAGGAAAGATTTCAACGAAGTTGCTGGGAATATTTCAAAAAACTTGCGGAAACATTGCAAGAAATATTTTGAGGAAAGATAGAGGGAAGTTGCTGGAAATATTTGTAGAATTATTGCAAAAATATTTCGGTAATATTGGCTCAAATACTTCCTGGAAATGTTTCTGAAATCGTTCCAAAAATTTTGACATTTTATTTCGCAATATATTCACGATTCATGTCTGGAAATATGTTTCTGGAATATTTCAGAATATTTGTAGTAATATTTGAACGAAATATAATTTTTGTTAAAGAAATGATAAACAAAACTTTTCGGAAAATTTTTTCAGCAATCCTGCAGAATCATCGCAAGAAATATTTCAGGAAAGATTTCAAGGAAATTTCCGGGAATGTTTCAAAAACCTTGAAATCTTTCCTGAAATATTTCTTACAATGTTTCTGCAAGTTTTCTATAAGGTTTCACCGAGATATTTCGTAACTTAACAATTAACATTTCCGTGAAAGGTTTCTTCAAATATTTCTCGAAATATTTTACTGAAATTTTTTAAATAACTTTCCGAAACCTTCCTGCAATATTTTCACAAGGTTCTTTTGAAATATTTCATGGAATTTTTCACTGAAATATTGCATGCTGAGTGTGCAACTTATTAAATAACCTTGCTGGAAACATTTTTCGAGTGATGCGCATGCGCACAGTCTTTATTCTCAAGCGGCTTAATGCAAAACTTTTTTTCTTATTACCAATAA